AGTCTCTTTACCTCACCGTGTGACGAAAAGAGAGCTGAGCCAGAAGGCAAAAGTAGAAGTACTCAGATCTTGTACTTGAGTAAAAGTAGAAGTACTCAGATGTTGTTCTTGAGAAAAAGTAGAAGTACTCAGACCTTGTACTTGAGTAAAAGTAGAAGTACTCAGATCTTGTACTTGAGTAAAGCGTGAGATGGGCCGGAGAATCGGAGCAGCGGGAGCGGTACTGCAGTCTCTTTACCTCACCGTGTGACGAAAAGAGAGCTGAGCTGAGAACCAAAATGCAACACACGGGAGACCAGGGAAAGTCAGTAACCAGCTTTATTAAAACTCGTTTCCACAGAAAAGTTCTGGTGTAAGACAAACCGGCAGACAGTAGGCAAAGGGCTGGTCGGGGACAGGCGAGGGTTTCCAGGAGTAGGCAAGACGGGAGAAGCAGGTACAGGCAGGGTCAGGGAGCAGGCGAGGCAGACTAGTCCGGGTACAGGCAGGGTCAGGAAACAGGCGAGGCAGAATAGTCCGGGTACAGGCAGGGTCAGGGAGCAGGCGAGGCAGACTAGTCCGGGTACAGGCAGGGTCAGGGAGCAGGCGAGGCAGGCTGGGAGGTAATGCGGGAACAAACTGCATGCTGCCAAGTACGATCTGGTACTGAGGTGAGAGTGAAGGGGGCCTATATACTAGTGGAGCCAATGGGTGTAACAGAGTGTGAGAGAGAAACAGGGTGTTGATAGGTGAGTGTGACATTAATATTTGCTTCTTGTATCTGTTGCAATGAGATGTTTACTTATGATGATATTTCCCATTGTCTCTGTAATATCGTGGCCTCATTTTGGATTAAATCACCTTAAAAATGACATTTTATTTAGGTTTTATGTCCAAAATGAATCGGCTGATAGATCATGCTGTCTGTAGGGAAACAGTTCTGCGGCACAATATGAAAAAAAGCTTCCCTTTGTGCTTTAATTAAACATAAGCTAAGTGTGATATTCCACCCTGTGTGTAACATCGGGACATCCCCTTTACATGAAATCATCTATCATTTAAAAACTCCCAATCTTAAGACTTCACTCCAGTTTCTATGAATAGCATCGCTTGGCAATCCTGGAAGTCTCTTTTTTCTGTGACATTTATAAAAGTTTTATGGCGGTAATATAAAACGTTACATGTCCCGCTCTCATGAATCATTTGCGTCATGGATCATCGCTTCAGAGCGCTAACGTTTATACCCAGTTTCCATTTGTGGCTCACACACACATCAACGATGAAGTGATAGAGTGCACCGAATGTCCAGATTGATTTTCTAAATGACTCATTATAACTGTTAAAAATAATGATTATGTGTGTGACATTTATAAAGCAAATTGCGGGGTCTAATTGAGAACGAAAAAACATAATTGTAGTCTCTTGTGAGGACGATTTGATAGATTTATTTAACTGTAAAAGGCGATGAAGTTTAAACATTTTCAGTTTTTACTTCAAAAGAACGTGACCTTAGGGATAAATCTCACATTTAAAACACATTTTCTTCGGCAATAAAAACCACATTCCTTGCTGGTTACATGGTTTATTGAGTGCCATAAATAAACATTTGAATCTTATAATATAAATGATAGCAATATACTCAAATATAGATTATAACACCGGGTCATTTTGTGATTTGTTTGCGGCATTTGCATATACTTCTGGTAATTTAGCATCGATATTTGGCTGTTTTAAAGTTGCTTAGTGGTTGTTTTCTCTCTATTTTTGGATCCTTTGCACCTCTTTATGGTCGTTTGATTGACATTCTTACAAGTAATGTGAACTAACACACTTTATACACACGCTTTGGGTCAGGCATCCTATTTGTTCATCCAGAAATTATACAAACAAGCCATCTTTAATATCACTTCCTGACTTTTGGGGGACCCTTTGGGTCCCTCTGTCCTCACCCTTTTTTCAGAAGCATTTTGACTCCAAGAAGGGAATGAGTCCTTACCCCAAGTGAAGGAGTTCAAGTATCTCGGGGTCTTGTTTTCGAGTGAGGGAACAATGGAGCGTGAGATGGGCCGGAGAGTCGGAGCAGCAGGAGCGGTACTGCAGTCGCTTTACCGCACTGTGTGACGAAAAGAGAGCTGAGCCAGAAGGCACCGGGCCGTTTTCCTTCTACCCTCACCTATGGTCATGAAGGATGGGTCTTGAGTAAAAGTAGAAGTACTCAGATCTTGTTCTTGAGTAAAAGTAGAAGTACTCAGATCTTGTTCTTGAGTAAAAGTAGAAGTACTCAGATCTTGTTCTTGAGTAAAAGTAGAAGTACTCAGATCTTGTACTTGAGTAAAAGTAGAAGTACTCAGATCTTGTTCTTGAGTAAAAGTAGAAGTACTCAGATCTTGTTCTTGAGTAAAAGTAGAAGTACTCAGATCTTGTTCTTGAGTAAAAGTAGAAGTACTCTGATCTTTTACTTGAGTAAAAGTAGAAGTACTCAGATCTTGTTCTTGAGTAAAAGTAGAAGTACTCAGATCTTGAGTAAAAGTAGAAGTACTCAGATCTTGTACTTGAGTAAAAGTAGAACTACCAGAGTGTAGGAATACTCTGTTACAGTAAAAGTCCTGCATTCAAAATGTTACTTAAGTAAAACTACAAAAGTATTGGCATCAAATGATATTGAAAGTAAAAGCCCCCGACCTATGGTCATGAAGGATGGGTCATGACCGAAAGAACGAGACCGCGGATACAAGCGGCCGAGATGGGTTTTCTCCGCAGGGTGGCTGGCGTCTCCCTTAGGGATAAGGTGAGAAGTTCAGTCATCCGGGAGGGACTCGGAGTTGAACCGCTCCTCCTTCGCGTCGAAAGGAGCCAGTTGAGGTGGTTCGGGCACCTAGTTAGGATGCCACCTAGTTAGGATGCCACCTGGGCGCCTCCCTAGGGAGGTGTTCCAGGTGGGAAGAGACCGAGGGGTAGACCTAGGACCAGGTGGAGGGATTATATCTCTTCTCTGGCCTGGGAGCGCCTTAGGACCCCCCAGTCAGAGCTGGTCGATGAGGGAAAGGAACGTTTGGGGCTCTCTGCTGGAACTGATACCCCCGCGACCCGACCACGGATAAGCGGGAGAAGATGGATGGATGGATTTTGACTTTTCTTTTTATCATTCAGACGCACATTCTGCATTTGATCAGATGTGACGATCTGATGATACTGTCAGTCAAAGTGAGCGATGAATGAAACTACAGTCTCTAGTTTTTCATATGCTCGAGTGATGAATGAAAGGAAATTACCCCAACCTGTCATTAGACTCTAAAAGGAAATATTATTTTTTTCGAGTCTCACACTGAAGATAAAACTGTATATGGTGTAGCTTTGAAAAGGACGGGCATTAGTGGCAATATGGCGCCGTAAATGGCAGCCAACAATCACTGTCAGATGTGAAAAGAAGAGGAAAAAGACTCTCAGTGCTGAACTTTATCCTTTCTGTTCTGCCTGATCTGTATCAGAGAGTAAGGCCTGCGTGGGAAACGTTTAAGAGGAAACTACGAGATTCGATTTAGATTGTCGAACCTCCAAAACTGCATCCACAATGCCTTTAATGCAAGAAGCGAACGGAGGGTACTTCACACACAATTATTCGTCCATTTGAGTGGTTTTTATCACGGTACGCAGTTTAAAAGTAGGAAAAGGAAAGGGAGTGCATGATACAGAGTCTTAGGAGACGAACAACACATGTCTGTACTAGTATTGGAGTAATCCCCTCATCCCCAAGGAAATTAAACAATGTTTTTCTTATTATTAATGGCACAGAACAAGGTGGGAAACAAACCACAAATAAACAACGAAGTGTGGATGCAAAGGGATAAGATCTGTACGCTCTGAACTCGATATGTCACAAACTCCTTAAATCCGGCACAAACGTCCACTTGGACACTCTCTAGACTTTGGTAGTCAAAATCACAAAACAAGTAGCTGTAACTCAAGAGTTCAGACACTAAATATGACACATTCACACAATTGCAACTTGACTGGTTGGAGGACGTAAGCATCTGTATTTAACATTTACCTTATGAGTAATACATCTGTAAATGGTGTTTGTTTTTGAGTATTAGTATCAGTAGAAATTCCCCTTAAGGACGATGAACATCTGTACCACATATCATGGCAATCCGCCCAATAAGTGTTGAAGTGTTTTAGATGAACTTTGTTGAAACCAGTGAGGATATTAGAGTGTTTCTCCCAGTGTTGCTCTAAGCTCTTTTAAACAGTTGCAGATCTTCTGTGTTGACATGACTACTTTTTTGTATGCTGTAAAATTCGACCTTTTAACCGTAGCCTCGGGCTTCTGCATGAACTCATATATGCTCCGCTGTAACGTCCTTGAGCTAAAAGATGAGAGCTGACTTTGACCTCTGGACCTTTTTGTGGAGGCAGGCAAACATGGAAAGATATTTCTCTTCAAGTGTCAGTAGAAAAAACAGACCATATTGTGCTCGAGGTTTTCTAAGAGCTGAGACCTCTCTCTCCATCCTATATACTTTCATTTAGGTACATACTGTATATGATGTATTCCTATAGTGTTGTACTGTAGACCTACACCTACCTTATACATGTTATTATTGTGGTTTAAATGCATCAGGAGGCTCAGTTTCTGGGCAACAGATTAGCGATAACAACCGGGGTCAGAGAAAGTGACATTATGTGCTCGTTAGCATGTATTTAAAAGATGACCTGAGGGAATTTTGATTTCTGCTCTCTTGTTTTATTGTTTAAAAATGAACCCTAGGAAATTACCATTATTATACGTTAAAAAATAAATTGGATGCAGGAATTAGAAACATTTCGGCTCACCTTAAGGCCTCCATTTGTACAATGTTTATTGACAAAATGCCCAACATGAATATTTAAATAAATGAGTAGCAGGAAGAAAAATATGGAGGCAATTTAATTATAATTTTTCATTACCTTTTTTTTTTAGAAAGGGCACAAGTGTGTGTACCAAGTGATAAGCCAAATAACATGGTCATAACTTCTAAGTCCCATTAAAAAATAAATGAGATTTTGACAGACCTGTGGGAAAGAAAACATGGAATTATGGGTAATAATTGCTCACAGTAAGACTTGCAAAACATAACAAGCGGGAAAATGTTCTTGAAAAAGTCTCGGCAAGCTTAAAGCTGATTCTTCCCAACTCTTACGGTACGTCCACACGGCAGCGTGCGTTGAAGCTTTCCGGTGGACGTGCCTGGCGTGCGACCAACAACCAATCACATTAATCTCCCGCCCTGGACACACAAGCACACGGTTTGATTGGCTAGCGCTTGTACTGGCATATGATTTGATTGGCTGGCGCTTCCGTCGGCGCTTAAAAAGTTGAACTTTTCTCAACTTTCGAAGCGAGCAACGGAGGCAAAGCGACGAGACGGAACCACAATGCAGTTCGGCAAAGCGTGACGTCGCCCCAAAGTGAATGGGAAGCGTCTCCGTTGAAGCAACACGACGCTGCCGTGTGGACGGGCCGTTAGAAGCTCGAAATCCCGAGTTTTAAGCCCAAAGGAGACTTTGAATAAGATCTTGATTTAATTCGTCATGCTTTAATTAGGAAGAGCTGCTTCTACTGTACAGACTAAATAAGTTAAAGTGTCGAAAAACAGACAGAAATTAATTCAAATAATTAATAGAAATGTATGTTATGGCAGTAATTAGACCCTCCAGGAAAACGCGATT